GTTCGTATTTTGAATCAAGGCCAATAAATTCATGCAAAAGAACTAACAAGACTCAGAAAGCCTTCAGACGTATTTATTACGGAATACATTAAGAAACCCTGAGTGCTGCAGGCGCATAAGTGACGATTTTTGAATTTATCCAATATAACAGCACAATTTCTAGCAACCATTTTCTTGAATTTGCTCAGGTACATCATAAAATTAAAAAAGCCAGAACATAGCACAGTCCTTTCTCATGCAGGTTTTTGGGAACAAAACACAAAAAGTTTGGAAAAGAAACATATTTAGAGGAAAGCATACTCACTGCGACATAACAATTGTAGGTTTTGTTTCAGGCCGATCCGGAGCTCGTTTGCGCCAGGTTCGCGCCATTTTTATCACGTCTATGAGGCCCGATGTCGACAGCGGCACTTTGTTCTCAATTGGCCACATTCGAACCTAAAATGTCATTTACATTTACACTACAACCCATCTGTGCATCAACTAAATTTATCTCTGAAGCTGATAATTTGTGAAGTTCAAGAATGCTTTATTCTTTGTAAAAAATGAAAGATCCGGAAGCACTGTCCAACTATTCAAATTCAGCCTGCAGGTATACGTGGTTCTCATATACAGACACTTAAAAGTTTTGGCGGGAATGCTCACTGGATAGCATAGATGGATTCAGAGGGCGGGGGAGTGAGGGGTGCTTCGCCCTTTCCCCTCCCCGCCTAACGGCACAGGCACCAATCCCGCAGAAGCCAGGGTCTGTTCATAAACGAAACAAAACTCTAAGTAGTAGTTTTACAAATCTAGGAAGGTAGATGTAAAGCAAAAATCATTCATGCAGTTTACGCCTGAGTACTTTAAGTCTGGTTCAAAAATGCATGATCGCTCCGACAAGCCTAGTGCATTCCAGCTTGAGTAACAAAATTCTCATCATAGCAAGCGGACTGTTAATACAAGATGAAATTGCATGTCCTACATAGATTTTGAGAATTATGTGAAAATGACTTTAAAAGTGAATAGCTATGCATCAGCAAATGCTAAGTTAAACTACACGAAAATTAGTGTCCTACAGTGAAACAGGTAAACTGCTGTAGAACAGGTAACCTCGCTCGGCAAGTAGTCATGGCTTGTTACTGTGTGCCATGAATACTCGCTTCCCGGCTTCCCTAATTCTGGATTTGAATTATGCGACCAGAGAGAGGTAAAAGAATGTATGCACAGATGCACATATGCGTGTCGGATGTGGTCACATCAAGGGGCGGTCATTAGCATAAATCTTGTTAGGACAAAAAGTCTCCATAACAATCACGATTTGAAGAAATACCTGTATTACACAACATATCCTAACTTCGGCTTCAAGTTGCTGTTGATTCGCACCATTGGCCATTATTTCTGAGATCATGAATGTCTGCAAGCATGCACAATATGCAAATTAGAAGTCGTTGTAACATAAATCTGGAAATAATTTACACACAGCAGGGAACCAGATGATGAGGAAAAATGAGTTAGTTATCCCAGCACGATCCCAGCATACTTCTGCCAAACTTAGAGCCTTCATTTTTTTGAATTTCTGCCTTCAAAAATTGTTCCCTACAAAATTTTAATCTTTCACATTTCTAAATGCGGTCTGTTGCTTGTCATGCTACTGTCTAATTTGGATCGACAGTGGACAAGAAGACTAATCCCTCGGCAATTTGCATGTTCATTTCGGACAGTGCCAGCTACAAAAGTTCATTGAGATCGTGCAGGGCATCTAAATTTTTATGGTAGATGTGAGGTGCGGAATAAGGAAAGGTATAAAGAAAAACAGTGATGATTTTGAGGTTATTTTACTAAAAATAAAAATCGAGGGAAATTAGTGTTGAAGAAAGGTACTCGAAATCACTCGAAAATGCATTTTTGAGAGACAGCTTGAATAGAGTACCATCCATCAGCCTGAGTCACTGTAGTTTAGAACTTCTGACTAGGCTCTTTCCTGAGAAGCCAGATGATAATTTTTCAGCCAACAACAAGTGCTTTCTTTTTGGCTCAAAGCCTCATCCCCAAAAATGCCCGTAAAGCTCCACAGGACACAAAAGTCACTAAAAAAATTTTGTCTTTTCGCAGCTACAGTTCCTTCTTACAGTGCCGATGTGGTAATACTCAACACTTACTAGACAACATCCCAAAACGGTTGAAATTTTGCTGTCAGAAAAACTATTGATCGTCTAATTCTTAGCGCGGTTCTCCAACAATGCAGCTAACGCTAGTAAGTGAAATGACCAATATAAGCGCTTATATAAATTTGCATGATGGCTCGGTACAGATCAGTGATTGGTGCACTTTTACTTGGCCTTTTAATGAAAGAGTTGTCCAGAAAAAAGTGAATGAACAATTAGCCATGCTAAACAGCTGTTCAAATTTTATTGATGCATCGCAGACGAATATAGGAGGCACGAAAATTCTCGATTTTGCGTTCTTCTTATCAAAAACTCAAAAATGGAAAGGAGAATCTCAAAAGTTTCTAGTATTTATAGATAACAAATTCATTAGAACATCCACTAAGATTTATTAGTACCGCCTGAAGCTCCGGGCAATCGCTTACATTTGAAAAATCTG